GGCGGGTCGAAAAACATAAATTGTTTGATACGAAAATTGTATAGGTCTTAACAGGTGCTATTTTAATCCCTTATTCTTGAAAAGAAATCCGGATTATCTGCGACAATATCTTCAGTCTGCGGAATGAGCTTGAAAAATTGAAAATTGGAGTGGGAATACCAATTTTTCAAAAGTTTACAACGTCTTGTGTAGATTAAATCCGGAACTTATTTCCTATCATAAAATTATAAAAAAATAAACTGTGGAAACTAAAAGTAAGTAACATCAATATTTTAATCAATAAATCTTTATTTCCTAGTTAATTTTTTAATTTACTAAAATATTGATGTTTCTTACTTTTATTTTGTCCAATTTAATTTTTTATGATTTTATGATTTTATAAGTTCCGGATTTGATCTACACAAGTCGTTGAAAAATTTGAAAAATTGGTATTCCTACTTTTATTTTAAAATTTTCAAGCTCAGGATATTGTCGCAGAGAACCACGATTTATTTTCAGGAATAAAGGATTAAAATAGCACCTACATGACTTATAAAATTTTCGTTTCAAACATTTTGTGGTTTTCGACCCGCTCTAATGTACATACATATATATTAGGGCGGGTCAATTTGTATGAGAGATTTTGTCGACTATGCGAGTATAGAATAGAAGGAGTCTATGTGTAATTCTAAGAAACATTGCGGAAGAAACCATGTGTCTAAAATAAGTTTGGAGTTTGCCAAATTGCAAAAATAGGTTTCTTAAAATTTGTCCGTAGTGTCGTAAAAAAGTGCAAAAATTTTGTATAAAAACATACTATAAGCGATTTTTCGGTCTGAGGAATTCTTTTCGGCACTTATCTTTTTCTTAAATTTAAACAGAGGGCGCAACAGTGAAAATATTCATATTTTCTTGGAAACTTATTTTCGCAATTTGGCAAACTCCAAATTGATTTTAACTCATGGTTTCTTCGGAAAATTTGCTTAGAATTAAACGCTGAATCCTCCTACAAAAAATTGACCCGCCCTAATGTACATATATTTATGTAAAGAAAAACTTAAGAAAAATTATACTGACAACAGTAACACTCTCGACGGCCCTGCCTTCATTCCCATGACAGCCGGTTCTACGTACCGGAATGACTCGGGTTTCACCCGACCAAGGGCTGTTGTTTCGGCGATCTAACCCCGTTTAGGTCGGCGAAGTATCTCAGAAGTTGTCCGTCCATAGGGCAACATTCACTACGCATTCTCCTACTCAGGGCTGGCATCGAGTCAAACCCTGGGCCAGAAATATACACCTGCTGTGTATGCCGAAGACGTTTACACCACAACTCCACCTCAGTCAAGTGTAATGCCTGCGAGGGGTGGAGTCACCTCAGGGTCTGCTCGGGACTACGGACACACAGACAGTGGACCACGTCGTACGTGGCCCCCTGTTGCTCAAATAGAGCAGCCTCCACGGCAACCCACAGTCCGCCCGTGCAGCCCCACACACTCACACAGCAACCACACACAGTCGCCACAACACAACAACATACCACAGCCACCACAGACCACATAACACACACAACCGCACCACCACCCACACGCCGCCGCCAACAACTCTTGGTTCCCCCTACAATCTGCACGGTATGTCAGACCAGAATATTCCGTAATGTGACATCAGTCAAGTGCAACACCTGCCTTGGCTGGTGCCACTTTAGGGCATGTTCAGGTCTGCGCACCACGCGAGATTGGACGGGGAACTTCGAGGGCCCGTGTTGCGCTGCCCGGTCGCTGGCATCAATTGCGACGCCCCCCAATACCACCACAGGGAGGCAATCACCCCAGCAGCACACACAGCCAACGGCGGCAAGAACTTACACTTCACTCACACCCCACATCACAACACGTCTCCCGAACCACATGAAGCTCCTCCAATTCAACTGTAACGGGCTACAGAGCAAGATTGAGGAGATAACCGCCTTTATGTGTCGGCATGGTATATTAATAGCTGCGGTCCAAGAGACGAAGTTGCACAGCAATTCAACTTTGTTGAATTGTGCCGGGTACAACGTGCACCGTCGAGATCGCGAGCGAGATAATGGTGGTGGCTTAGCGTTCATCACGCACCACACCGTGCAGTATCGTCTTATCGAAGCAGACATCGACCGCAGGGATACCACCCTAGAATGTCAGGGCATCGCTATCCGGTCAGGCGATGTCGAGCTCGAAATATTTAATATATACATACCCCCTGTCACCTGCTGCCCGGCAGGATATCACCCTGATATAGGTGCGCTCCTCAGAGGTGAAAACCGTATGGTAGTAGGTGACTTTAATGCGCACCACGATCTTTGGCACTCAAGCCTGTCAAACGATCGTAGGGGAACAGACTTGGCTGAGCAGATAGACGATTCGACATTCTGCACAATGAACGACGACGCACCCACCAGGATTATGGGTAACTGCAGTAGCTCGCCAGATATCACAATAGTCAGCGCTGGTCTGATAAACAGCATAACGTGGCGACCTATGCTGACTCTAGCATCAGACCATCTACCCATAGTCATCTCGATTGATAAACCAACCGACTTTGCCTCCGCCAAACACCGGACCTATGTCAACTTTTCTAAAGCTGACTGGAAAGGTTACGCGGAGTTTACTGAAAACACCTTCACGTCGCTCCCCACACCAACCGACGTCCACCTCGGTGAACGTAAGTTCCGCAGGGCTATCACTGCTGCTGCAGCCCGCTTCATACCGGCAGGGTGCATATCGGACCCACGTCCAAACTTCCCTGCCGAAGCGGCTGTTTTAGCAAATGAGCGTGACAGCCTTCGTCAGGCCGATCCCGGAGATCCCCGTATCAGGGATCTCAACGCGGAGATTCGGCAACTTGTAAACGTACATAAGCGGAAGAAGTGGGAGGAGCATCTGAAGACTTGCAACTTCACCTCTGGTGTGAGCAAGCTATGGTCAACCGTGAGGTCATTGTCTAATCCGACGAAGCACGACGACAGAGTCGAAATTTCCTTCGGCGACCATGCTTCGTCGGACCCGGAGCGATGCACGAGCTATTTTAGCCGGCAGTTCATACTGCATCCTCCGGTGGACAAAGCCAAGCGTCGAGTGACCAGAAGGCTGCACAAACTGCCAACAAATTGTGCCCCCCTTGCTTTCACTTGCGGTGAAGTTCAGGTGGCCATCGGGAAGGCGAAAGCCTCCAAAGCCATGGGTCCCGACGGTATATGCATGCTGATGCTGAAAAATTTGGGTCCTGCGGGGGTAGCGTACCTAACGGAGGTCCTCAATTTGTCAATGGCCACTCTCATCATCCCAGACATCTGGAAGGTGGGGAGAGTGGTCCCACTGCTCAAACCGGGGAAACCTGCAAACAAAGGAGATTCGTATCGTCCGATTACACTCCTTTCCCCGGTAGCGAAGACACTCGAGGCCTTGCTACTCCCGTACTTCACAAATCACCTGACCCCAGCGAAGCATCAGCATGGTTTCCGTAAAGTGCACAGCACAACAACAGCACTTAACGCCATAAACACTCAGATAACTCGTGGCCTTAACCGTAACCGTCCCTGTGAGAGAACGATTCTAGTAGCGTTGGACCTGTCAAAGGCGTTTGACACCGTCTGCCATTCCACGCTACTAGAAGATATAGAGGCCTCCTCTCTCCCACAGAGGCTCAAACGGTGGTCGGCAAATTATCTAAGTGGTCGACATTCGTCGGTAATGTTCAGAGACAAAACGAGTAAGCAGCGAAAAATAAAACAGGGGGTTCCTCAGGGTGGTGTCCTTTCCCCGCTACTGTTTAACTTTTATATTTCAAAGCTCCCTCAACCACCAGAGGGAGTCTCGATTGTCTCCTATGCCGACGATTGCTCGATTATGGCGACTGGGAATGGAATTGATGACCTGTGTTCGAAAGTAAACGGCTATCTCTCCGAACTTTCTCGCTTCTTCACTGCAAAGTGTCTAGCCCTCTCCCCTACGAAATCCTCCGCGACCCTGTTCACAACCTGGACGAAGGAGGTCAGGCTACCGCTGGGGATTCACGTCGATGACACACCAATTCCGACGGTGAATAACCCCAAAATACTCGGAGTAACTTTCGACAGCCTGCTCTCCTTCTCTGCGCACTCAACCGCTATTGTCAATAAAGTACAGAGCCGCAACAAGGTCCTCAAGTCGCTAGCCGGCAGTATTTGGGGCAAAGACAAAGAAACGTTGCTGGCAACATACAAGGCAATAGGCCGGCCGGTTCTGAACTACGCAGCGCCAGTGTGGTCGCCTGGGACTAGTAGGACGCAGTGGACGAAGCTACAGACCGCACAAAACACCGCACTGAGGACAGCGACGGGATGCCTCCTGATGACGCCTGAACACCACCTGCACGGCGAGGCGCAAATGCTCCCGGTAAAGGAGCACAATATAATGCTCTGCAAGCAGTTCCTGATCGGGACCCACAGAAGTGGCCACCCGTGCAGACAGCTGCTTGCAGAGGAGCCCTCGCCTAGGCACGTCAGGAGGCATCTATATGAACTAACGGACGAAGTCCAGAGGTTCATTAAGCAACCTCTGGACCCGACAGCCTACAGACAGGCCTTGAACGGCATTCACAGGGACTCAGTCTCGAGTTATGTAGACTCTAGACCTGTGAATGCCGTTCTAGGCACACCACCCCCGGACATTGACGAGACGGAGCTTCATCTGCCTCGGGAGACGCGCACCACACTTGCACAACTTCGCTCCGGCTACTGCAGCAGGTTAAACTCCTACCTGAGTAGGCTGAATGAGGATGTGCCTAATGAATGTCCGGCATGCGGAGAGACCCCACATGACTCGAAACATCTCTTCGCATGCCCGGCAAACCCGACATCCCTAACGACCTTGTCCTTATGGGCAAACCCCGCAGAAGCTGCACGCTTCCTAGGGTTGCCGTTAGTGGAACTTGACGACAACGACTGAGATACCAACCGATCTGGGCGGGGTTGTTGTAGCCGCTACAACAACAACAACAACAACGGCCCTGCCTATGAGTGGTCAACGAAAACTAGAGAGCCTACGAACGGCCCTTGCAGAAATTGGCAAAGGATAAGTCGAATAACTATTGTGGGGCCTGATAAGAAGAATAAGAAGAATAAATCCGAAATTTACCGACATCTTGCAACAATCAATACTAAGATATAACATGCTTTTATCACAAATTTTGTTCGTGTAGGATGCCAGGCTAAATTTTATTATTATTTACTTATTATTATTATATTATTTATAAATTTATTAATATTTCCCAGCGAAAAAGTGTAATGAACTCTATGCCGCGAGTTAATAATATTTTTTTCTTTTCATTATTAAGGACATATTAAATTGTCTTATGAACAAATTATTCAAAGCACTGTGAACATATACATACCTCCCTACATTTACAAATGTAAATAAAACTTAAAACTATTTTAAACCAAAGGAACAACAGGTTTTACATTACGTATGTACTCTTCAAACGTTCTGTCTTCCTGAAGAGCTGGATCCATTTCATTAATGATCTGAGGTAAAATAGGGTTATCCAACATTGAGGTATGATTTCCCTCAATAACTTTGAGAACTACTTTTCCTGTAGTAATCTTTGATAGACAATAGTCCTCCTCTATGTCTTGTAAAGATACTTCAGCAGGCCGTATTAAGACTATTGGTGTTGTCAGTAAGTCAATTGTATCCAAATTATAGTTAGCAGCCATACTTATACGTCGAAACATTGCATGCACCATTTTGTCTGCGTATTCATTGCTATATAAACTTTGCTTATTTACATAATCCATAAATCTAGTCATTTTATCATTTAATTGATCAAGTTTGCTAAATTCCAAAACAACCGATTCTTGAATCTCGTCTGGGAATATTTGTTTAACAATACTGGAAAGAAGTAAATTATATAAATTACTATCAGTGAAGTCTTCTCCAAGATGGGCAAGTGTTAGTTTTTTTAGGAAATGTGGAGCTCCATCGATGAGTAAGAGTTGGCCTCGATAGCCAGATTTTTCTAGCATTGCAGCCAGTTGTAGAGCAATAAAGGATCCATATGAATATCCAATGATGTAGAAAGGCTCTGTAGCTTTTAATTCTGCTTTAACGTGCTGTAAAATGGTTCAATGAGAAAAAATAAAGAAGTTAAAAACTATGGCATAGAACTCTTTGTTACTACTGCTATCAAATAAAATATGTATGTATGTACTTACATCAAAGCAAGCTTCTGCAACCTCTTTAACTGTGGAGCAATCTGCGAATTTGTGAAGTTGTAGAACATAACAGCGATTGTTTATAAGTTCTCCCATGTTGTACCATGCTTGGCCGGCTGTGCCTTCTAATCCTGGAATTATTATATTTGGTGGCATTGATTGTTTTGTAGTATTTGCAGCTGTCTTAAGAGGTATCATAATTTCATTACAACGTGATTCATCTCCCAGATTTCTTAGCAAAATCTCCATTCCAAGAATGTTACTATCAGATGTAAAAATCATTTTTACATCTGAGGATTCTTTTTCTCGAGCATCCGCATATTCTTGCAACTTTTGGAATGTTAGCGCACGCAAATCTTGTGGCGTCAATGTGAGATCAAAATCTCTTTCTAAAGTTTGTTTTATTTCAACAGCCATTAAAGAATCCATTCCCATTTCTGAGAGTGTTGTTCCCAGGGAAACAGATTTTAAATCGCGAATGCCCATAATGTTCATAACAGTTTCGAGAACACTTTCATTTCCCATCCGCCCGACTCGCTTTTCAGCAACTACCATACTTGAAATGATTGGTTCTTGTACAGATAACAGTATGTCCAACTCACACAGGCAGGATGAGATACGTTGCTGTAAAGTCCCACCAATCTCCATGTCTATTTTATCTTCAGCCATGTCAGCGACCAAACCAACTTCCCCAACTGCTCCCCACTGTATTGCTTTTCCAGGATAGCCATGCTTAACACGGTCCTCTACAATACGCTCCATAATTGAATTGGCCATTCCGTAATTGGTTTGCCCGGCATTGCCTCGGCCACATGAAACACTTGAAAATACAACAAAATGTTCTAGATGGGGGCAATCAGAACGGGTTAACTGGTCTAAATATTTTGTGGCAATGGCTTTGGGAGCAAAGCTTTCCACAAATTTTTCTTTTGTTTGATTTGGAAATATACCATCTCGTAAAACCACAGCTAAATTGAATATTCCTCCAATAGGTGCATATTGCTTAGCTTGATTTAATAATGCTATGCAACCCTCAATGGTACAAATATCAAACATACTAACAATAACTTCACAGCCGTACGTTTTCCATAATCTAAGAAGTAATAACCGTTGTTAAAAATAAAATTACTAAAGGAAATGTAGAGCATGGAGTAATATTTTTTAATACATACGCTATCCTATAAGCCTGGTAATCCTTTGATAAACCCCGTCTTGAGCTTAGAATGATTTTTCGTGCTCCTCGTATGGCCATCCAATCAGCTAATTCTAAGCCGAATCCACCTAGACCTCCAGGTATTATATAGCTTAGATCGGCTTTAAAATAAACTTGATGTAAAACTCTGACTGGCAACGTTACTAGCGATTCCGGATCCTCACGGACTTTAATTAAGACTTTGCCAATATGTTTTCCTCCAATAAGGTGTCTAAATGCTTGTTCAATATCCTCAGCAGGAAAAACTGTCGATGGCAGCGGCTGAATAATACCTTTTTCGATATCAACATCAATTATATGTTTTAAATACTGTAAATGGATTATTAAATTTAGCGATTACATGCATAAATCTAACCGAATTAAACTTGCATTAATTTCTTTATCTAGGGCGAATTCCAGCCTATCGGCCAGGACTGCATGAAAAGTTATCTCTTTGAGAAAACAACTCATTCCAAGTTTTGTATCATTAGACATATCGAATTTTCCGATTTCTAAGAAATGCCCGCCGTATCCCAAACAACGAACTGACGCCAATAATTTGTCTTCAGCTAATGAGTTGAGTACAAAGTCAACGCCCTTGCCGTTGGTTTCACGTTGTATCATCATTTCAAATGATGTATCTCGAGAGTTGCCAATGTGACATTCTAAAAATTTTCAGAGATTATATTATTAGTACCATATGTATATGTGAATCTAAATACTATAAGTGTTAATTAATACCTTTTAATTCGGGGAAAGTTTGCAATAAAAATTGTTTCTTTTGTGTGGTACTGCATGTGGTAAAAACTTCAAGCTTGTAAGCCAAAGCGACCCTTATGGCTGCAAGGCCAATTCCACCTGTTCCAGCATGAATAAGAATACTTTTACCCTTTCGTATATCTGCAGTCATGAAGAACGCATAATATACGGTAATGTAAACAACTGGCACTGTGGCAGCTTCTTGTAGAGTCCAGTGATCAGGAACATCCCAAATAAATTTTGATGGTCTTTCGATGAAAGATGCGACACCGGCTTTGGCTACCATACTCATAACGCGCTTACCAGTCTTTGTGTTTATTCCAGAAAATTCTAAGCCCAGAACGCACAACTGATCCAGACGGCTACTACCATATAATTCAACAGCCAATCGGCCCGTTGCTAGCATAACATCTCTGAAGTTAAGGGAAGAGAACACTATCCGAACCGAACAGCTATTGATGTCTAAAGGGCCCTCCAACCAACGCAAAGTAGACAAGTCACCTCGTTGCATAACATTTCCATAAATATGTCCTGATATTGGCCTTGGACAAAATTCACAGGGCAACTTTAAATGTCTGTAAGAACCCCATTGACCCTATTAAAATAAAAAAGCAGTTAGTGAATGGAATATATTTAATATACCTAAGTATTTAATTAATTATATTGCGCGGTTTGCATTGCGTACCTTGTGGTATACGTTTATGGCAAGGCCTAAAACGAATTGATGATTATAGAATGGATCTTTCAGATCAAAAAGAGGCGCGCTCTTATCATCTATGTAAAAGCAAGTTATGAGGCTTCCCTCTGGCTCCTTTCGTAAGCAATTTACAAGTCCAATAAGGCCATTTGTACTTTCGTTGAAGGAGTATAGGATTACTGGTGTTTTGTTAGATAAGGCAGTTTGAACCTGAGTAATCCATTCAAACTCAATATCTTCTTCAGAAACTTTTAAAACCACTGGTTCTAATGTGAGTTTCTTAACGACCTTTTGGAGTAATAATATGCGTTCTTCACTAACCAAAGCCATATCTGCAATTAAATTAAAATTTTCGAAAATCTTAAGGCTTTCTAAGGCCAATGGAGCTTTTTCTTTAGAAATTAGGTAGCCATTTTCTAATAAACTTTTGTAAGCTGCGTTAACCAAACTGTAATTATTTTCTTTGGAAAGGTTATTAGCGATGATAAAATTGCAATTCGTTTGATTTGTAAATTTTGCGGTTTCTATATGAACTCCTGGTATTTCGTCATTCTTTTGATCTGTGAAAAACAAGAAATCGCCCGTAACCAGTGGCAAATCCTCTAATCCTTCAACAAATTTAGATATGATTGGTTTATAGCCATTCGCCCCTATTTCCACAACTTTCATTTTTATCGAAGGACTGTTTTCTAGAGCTAACTGTACACACATGCGAACTGCATTTGTTGTACTAAAAGCGCGTGTTGTAAAGTGCGGCGTAAATTCATATTTTTCTAGCACAGGAATTCCAGGGGATTTTCGTCGCTGTACAGGGCTTGCATGAAGTCCAATCAATTCAATACCACCAGCAACAATGCGATCATATTTTGGCTCAACGTAGACATCAAAAACGCGATTTTCCGAACTCATTTTTGTCATGAGGTCGAAATGGTGTAGTCCATAAATGCGTAATTTTCTAATTTTTGTTGGAATAAGCAAAGTGCGGGAATCAGTGCATAAAATTTGGATTTGTAGCATTGCATCCATAAAAGTGACCCAATTATAATTCCACTCCACTCTACCAAATAATCCGTCGCCACGAGCTACGTTGACAGCACGAAAAGCACCATTGTAATGATACCCTCTTAGTCTGAGCTCTTTGTAGAAGTCTTTCTTAGATAGCATCGGAAAGTCTGATTTATTATTGAAGTCGTAGACTTTCGGTATTACTGGATTTTCGATTTCATGTATACTTCCAGTTACAACCAAACTTCCGGACTCGGTAATCTTTAAGTTTCAAAGCAAAACATTGTTACATTTGCATACGATATATAATATAATACAATAAATAATATTTATAATGTATCTATAGTGATATACAGAAGTATATCATATGTATATCAGATGCCTTATTTTCTCCATACATTTTGCTGAAGTATTTCAGATCCTCCCTCCAGCATCAGAATGCGAAAATAGGACACTAAAAACCCATCAAAGTGGAACAAATTTTAGTATTGCAAAAACTGAACGTGCTACTCCGATATCCGCGATTTAAAAGATTGTTTTTTATAGAAAAACATTCAACTTGCACAAGAAAAAACAAAGGATATCCAACCTTAGGTACAGGGCTGCCAACTTGGCTCAAACCGTGCCATTTTTGGCCCTATTTTAAATCAAATGGCACTTAATTTTTGAATTTGGCACTTAGTGCCAAAATGGCACTTTTTAAAAATAGTAATATTTCAATAAACTTTTCTGAAATCCTTCGCGTGTACTTCTTTTTCTCAACTAAAATTTTCTAATTTTTAAAGATGATTCAACTAGAAAAAGAAATGTGGTTCTTATTTTATTGCTAAATGGAAGGGATTAAAAAGGATGGCACCAATTTTGGCACTTTTATTTTTCTATTTGGCACATTTTGGCACTTTTTTATCCTCAATATGGCACCTCATAGCTAAGGATAGTTGGCAGCCCTACTTATGTAGAATAAGCCACTAAAAACGCAATTACCCACGGACGTTAAAACGGAGAACGTGTCAGCTGACACGATCCATCTTATGGGATCTGCGTATTAACGAAAACTCACCACCGCATGACCTTGCCGTTGACGTTGCTTCTCTCTCTCTCTACCAACAGCAAATTTGATATGTTTCAACGCACTTCAATGGTACGCTACGTACATGTTCGTGGATAATCGCGCTCTAAACCGAATAGCGTAGTCTGTTTTTAATACAGCCAACCTTAAAGTTACCCACACGGCCAAAAGTGACTATTTGGTACTTTTTTCACGAATTTTAAACTGTTTTAAACTGGATTTTTCAGATAGTAGTAATTTTTCTAAAATTAACATACTTAAAATTGTAGCTAACTTGCACCCGCTCTTTCACATTGGGTATTTATAGTGTATAGATAGCAACGAAAAATAAAACCTACCTTAAAAAAACTGGAGAGTGGTTACCGGCTCTCAATGATCAGTATAACGGGTGCCTTGAGGACTAAATCCGCTGTGACACATCACGCAATCTTAAACATGCAAACTGCGTTGCAAAATATTTTTTATTTTTTTCACTTTTATTTCAACATACTTTGATAAAAATAAAAATAAAATATTTCACACAAACAACAATATAATCGACAATCGCATGAGGCAAGTGCCTGAAAATTTTAAAATGCACTTAGTGGCATTGTGCTACTATGATAGACGGCCGAGTAATCATAGTCAACTTATGTACAGTAGACTGCATCACTCCCCATACTCCACTGGAATTATTAAATCTATTATATTTTAGGACTTCCGCTAAAATATCTCGCAAAAATGCTAAGATTTACGTGAGCTGGACCGATTTGAAAGTAACTCCAAAAATTGAGTTCTTTATTAATTAAAACAGGTTTTTTTTTAATTTTTTGAATAAATTACCTCAGATGACTGAACAGTTTAAGCTTAAAAAGTTTGCATAAAAATACTTTAAAAAAATATTCTACGGAATCATAGTAATGAGATTTTTGATGCTGTATTTGCACTTTTTTCAAAGACTGGTTTAAGAAAAACTTCAATAACCCAGCCAAAACCTTACCAATTTAGAGTTATGAGGTATCATTGGTAAGGTATTTTCTCACCCTTTTAATTTCTTTGCGAATAAGCTCATTCAAAGTATGAAAGAGAAAGGTGAGATAAACGAGTGTCATTCCATGTTGAATTAAGATGTGTTGGTATTGAATAAAGAAAAAATTGGGACGTGAATGAGGTTTTTTTGCAAAGAAATAAAAAGGGTGAGAAAATACCTTACCTCTGATATCTCATAAGTCTATATCTGTAAAGTTTTGGAGCAGTTGTTCAAGTTTTCTTTACACAAATCTTTAAAAAAAAGTTAAAAAACAGCATCAAAAACCTCATTATTATGATTCCGTTTATACAATTTTTTAATATTTTTATGTAGATTTTTTAAGCTTAAACTGTTTTGTCATCTGAGGGGATTATTCATAAAAATTCCATTTTTAGAGGTATTTTCAAACCGGTCGAGCTCACGTAAATCTTAATATTTTTCCGAAATATTTTGGTAGAAGTCATAAAATATACTAGGTTTGGTAATCCCGCCGGAAAAACCGCAACATTTTTAGTGATGCAGTCTAATCTACAGTAGTCGAAAAAATTAAAGCCGCACCAAATTTTCACAAGTTCTAAATTATTATTTTTGTTGTTATTTAATTTTGGTTAGTTTTTTATAGTTCATTCTTTAACAACATCCGTATAAATACAAGCTTAAAGGCAGTGTCACATGATTGGGTATTTGCCAAAATTTTGGTGTAAATCGTATCCCAAATATTTTTTTTTATCCCAATCACGAAAATTAATTTGTTGAAATTTTTCAGTATAACATCACTGTATGGTACCAATCTTTTGACAACAAAAAAAAAGTTCCCTTTTTTTATTTTTTACCAATAGTCCAATATAAAAATATAGCAATCTGTACAAATGTACCAATCGAGTGCCACTGCCTTGAATATGTATGCAATTAAAAAAAAAAAATAAACAAATTTTCGTAAGAATTTCGAGTTTTTAATTAGATCCTGAGTATGCAGTTTTTTAGCCCATTGAATTCTAGTAGAATAAAGTACAAGTTTCAATTGGCTAAAAACTACGATTGATTTTTTAGAAGTTTTAAAAAACCTCGAAATTTGTACGAGACTTTGTTGATTTTTTTTTAACATTGCACAAATTTAGAAACTTGGATTTACACGGGTTTTGTTAAAGAATGAACTACATTTTTATGATAGAAATAACCAAAATTAAATAACAACGAAAATGATACGTTAAAACTTGGCAAAAAGTGGTTTGACTATAATTTTTTTACCACTGTATGTATTTTTTAATATCTTTAATTGGACATGCACATTGTACATAAAGAAAGTACATAACAAAATAAAATTTGAAAATTTTTTTATATATGTATGTATAAAGAATTATGCATTTTTACATTATTTTATTTGATTCCTTTGATTGTACATGTTAAATAAAAGCTAGTTTTTAAAAAATATTTTTTTTTACATTATTTTATTTTGAACATTTTAGTTTTATTTTACATAACCCGGACATAATATGACCTACCATTTTTCCATTATCTGTTTATAGCGCTTTCGCACAAGGCGATTTTTCAGGCAACTTTTGCGTTCAACTCACGCAGGGTTGCACGAAACAAATTGAATGGCTAAAAATATCAAAATATAAAAGAATATCAAAATATTCGTCATAAAAAGGCGTTTGCATTGTTCAACTTTGCATTCTACTTTAGGTTGAACGGCCTTTCAACTAATCGCTTTCAACAAAGTTGGTCGCCAGCCAACATATCGAACCCCAACCGCCAAAATAACGTAAGCGACATTTTTTCAAAATTTTCTTTTTGATGCAGAAATATTCCTTGAGCATCTAGATGCATTTCTGCATCAAAAATAAAATTTGGAAACAAATGTCGTTTGCGTTATTTTGGCGGTTAGGGCTCGATATAGCCATTCAACTTTTTTTCGTGCAATCCTGCGTGAGTTGAAAGCAAAAGTTGAACGCAAAATCGCCTCGTGCGAAAACCTTTTTAGGCTGGGCAAAACACGTTGAGTTCAGGTAGCTAAAAAATTGTGCAATGGAAAAAATGGCGGAAAGTTAGCAACTTTTGAACTGAGCGTTTCTAGGACAAACAGCCAACGTTTAGACAATAGCTATGTAAGTCTTATGAACGCGCCCAATGTGTCACGAATTAAATAACACAGGGATAACTGCTGATTCATTGAAACTAATAGCGTTTTCTTTTCTCAAAAAAAGTTCTGCCCTTTTATATGGGAACTCTTGCTTTGCGTTGCCCTGAAACCTGAGAAAATGTTCCGTTCTTTTTATGGGAATGAAACAGAAAATATACTACTCCACCACAATTTATTTATAGAACTTAATAAAGCTGAATTATTCACTTGGCCTGTAAGTCTTTAACAATTTTAAAGCAAAACACTTATTTCTGATAGGGCAAATAATTGCATTTTTACAAGATTAAATTAAAAATCAACCATGCAACTCTCACCCTCGCGTTTATTTGAGGGCAGAAAAGGCACTTTCGCCGGATCAGAGCGCAACCTGCTGAGAAAAGAACACGACGCCTTGTGAAAGGGCTGAGAAAAGAACATGAAAATGTGACAGCACTGACACAAGGCAGAATAAGTGCAGCCTTTTTTCGAGAAAAGAAAACGATATCATTTCCGGTATTTTATCTGGCCAAAGAGTTCACATAGAATCTATCATACCAGCGCCTGAAACTATACTACATAGTTGCGCCGGCAAATTACGCTCTGCTATCACTAACAGTAGTGAACACGCTGTAAATGAGCTGTTAGATGAAGATAAACATAGGGGCTGCGAAAACGTTAAAATTTAAAGCTAAGATAAGTGCATAGTATACATTAGGTTTTAAGCTTGTTCTGTATCTGGAGATTGTTGCAAATTATTTGGAAATTTATACACACTTATATCAGAGAACGTATATTTCAGAGAACGTATATTTATTGAGAAGGTCCAAGAACTGTGAATGCCACATTTTCGAGCCAACTGAACAAGCGAAGCGCATTTTAAGAGCGATAAATATTTGGAATACTTAACAGCGAAAGCAAAATGTTAAGAAGAATGTTACAGAGCTAAATCTCACGAGAGCGTTTGGAATGTTAATTAAATATGAATATTGATGATTTTTGTGATAAGTGTTTGATTTTTTGAGAAAAAAATTCTTTCAGTAAAAGAATTTAATTTTTTTTCG